TTGTTATTGGGCATCCACACATAAATTATGGTTTAATAACAATTAGAACATGGATAAAAATTTGTAAACTTAAAATTCTTTTTTTTTTCTTTTTGGAAAGTACCTATAAGGCTTTGTTTATAGACAACAATGCCCCAAGTTTACACGCTGCTTATCATTAGATCAATTTCCGTTCTAGAGTGGTAAATGAAGGTGGGGAAAGATTCTTTGTAGCTTTTAAAAAACATTCACGTGTCTGCTTTTCACCCTGTGTTTAGAAGTGGACAAGGGGCAGTTTGGAGCAGTGGGGAGTCTGCAGGAGGGTCCTGGCGGTGTGGCTTCTGGGGCTGCCACTTTAAAGCCCCTCATCCTCTCCGGGCTCTCCTCCTCTCATGAGCTCCCCTCCTCCCCTCCAGTGCAGCAGCCCACGCTCAGCACTGCACTCCAGGTAGCTAACCTGAGCTTACTATTAAGCACTTTTCCTGGGTATTGGTTTATTGGTTTGATGCATCCATATAGTTCAGGTGATGGAAGATCATCAGAAAGCAAGGTGACCAATCCGCATCTGTATTAGAGATTTCTTCTAAGCAGTGTTCCTGGTGCTTACTAGGAGGCTTCACAGCCTCTTCTAAATTCTCTCTCTCTTTTTTAATTTTAGAGTTTAAAAAATTTTTATTGTAAATTGATATATACTATTTCTCCTTCTCTCGCTATTTATGGTACAGTATTAAAATATGATACACACATACAATGTTTGATGCACTTCCACCTCCTGGAACACTGTCATTTCATTTCTTCAACCTCTTTTCTTGTCCTTCTGGGAAGGAAACTCGAGCGTAGGCTCTGGTTATCACCCCAACAGCAACTCTCAGCTAGTCTACTCAATCGTCACAGCATCTTTTCAAGAAAATTTGGCTTTGAACTTGTTAACTAGCAGAGGAAATGGATCAGCCATTTCTCTAGAACTTTGCTGATAAGAAACTTTACTTTGCCTGATCTATCATTTCTGTTGAGCAGAATAGCAGCGCATAAGGGAAAGATTCAGTTTTGGATGACTCTGAGATTACTCTTAGAGTGAAATAAAGTACATAAACCATCAGGCATTAGCAGTGTGTTCTTCATTTGCTCATAGCCCTCTAAGATTGCTGATTTCTTCATTTGTCAAGAAAGGCTGTGTGGAACAAAAAGCAGCAGAAGGAGGCTAAGTCAGCAGCCCCATTGCGTGTCCCTTGCCCATTGCTGGGCGTCCAGCACAGACCTGGCAGTATGAAATGCTTAATCGATAAGTGCATGCTTGAAGCACTGCTATGTTACCCAGATAGTTCCTAAATGTACAATGTAAAATCATTTCAGAAAACATCCTTTAGGGAAACGATTTCAAGGTTTTTAAAACACTTTTTTAAAGTAATAATTTTGGGTTGATCTACTAGTAGGGTTATTTTGCAAGGAAGAAACAGTATCTTTTTCTCCGTGTCTGATGGGAGATTTATTGTGCACGCAGTACTAATCAAAATTCAATAGATTTCATTCAGAAAAGCAAAGGGGTCACAGCGATGCCCACTTGATCAGGCCGCACACGCAGAGCACAAGGTCTGCCGCGGGGGTTGCCCCATGTGGGTGAGGTTCTAGAATGCTTTCCTCCGTTCTATGAATAAACCGAATTCATCCTTCACACTCGCGTTGACTCAGCCCACGGACGCTTAATGGAGAGCACACAGGGACGCGGCGCCGAGGGCCACTGCCGACCCTCCCCAAAGTGCCGTGGCCCAGGAAGAGGTTTGCTGTTAGCCATCACCCGGGAAGGGACGCACGCCTTGCGGCTTGGCCGCCTGGCCCGGGTGTGCCCGCGGGCGTGCTCCGGCTTCCCCTCCCGCCGCCCGCCGGCGGAGCCCGGACCGGGCAGCCGAGCCGCAGCCGCTGCCCCCGCGCCCCTTTCGCAGCTCGGCCCGCCGGAAACGAGCCGAGGGCCCGACGGGGGCCGACGCCGGCGAGCTGGGCGTGGGGAGGGCGAGGCCAGCCGGGCGCCCGCGGGACGCGCCGCCTGGGCCCGCTCTCGGCCGGGGGCTCGGCGCTCGCCCACCTCTTCCAAATTTAACCATTACCTAAATCCGAAGGGAAATGAGCAAACCTCTCGGATTGGGTGTCAAGGTATTTTCAGCCTCCTTGGGCGTATTTATCCCCAAGTGTTTCCACAACAAGCTATTTCGGGGACCCCACGGGGCAGGTTGCGCTCTGCGGACGCTCGCCCGGGCTCCAGGCCGGCGGCACCGCGGGTGATTCACGGCCGGGACCCCGGGGGCGGTGCGGTCCAGGCGGGGACAGGGGGCTGCCCGGGGCCGGAGCGGCGGCCGGGCCTCCTCCGAGCCCAGCGCACACCCAGCTCCCCGCCGCTCCAGTCAGTCAATCTGTGTCTTCTTCTCTGCGACTTCTCGCGGCGGAAGTCTCCCGGGAGCCAAGAATAGTTCTTTTTCTTTCAAGTCATTTCAAGTCGTCTGGGTGTTCGGACCTGCAGATCTCCAACCCCACGCCGCACCTCTCCCCCCCACCCCCAACAACAATCCCCTGCCTTCCCACAGATTATTAAAACAACAACAACAATAAGAAGAGCCGGAAGGGCCGCGGAGGGTCGCCCGGGACCCGGGGTGGAGAGGCCGGGTCGGTGTCCGCCCTCCAGTCTTGCGCCCAGGGGGAGCCTGCGGCCACCCGACGAGGGCTGCTTGAGGGGGCAGGTCTGCGAGGGCTCGCGGGCCGCCCAGTAACGCTCAGGAAGTGCAGCTTGTGGTTTTGGGGGCTGAGCTCGGAAGAAGATTAAAAAAAAAAAAAAAAAAAGCCAAAGGCAGCGCGGGCTCTCCCGAAAGCAGGATCCCGTTTGAAAGCTGTCGGAGCGCGGTGAGTGGCCGCGCTCTGAGCCCGCAGGTAGGTCCACCCTCGCGGGCGGCGGCGGGGACCGTGGGGGGCCCGGGGCATGGCGGGGGCGCAGCCGAGGGCGCAGGCAGCCTCGCAGCTGCTGCTGGCTGCCCTGAGGGAGAGAGGGACAGTGCCAGGGCTGCAGAGGGCAGCCGGGCTGGGCAAGTGGGGTTGCCCGCTCCGGGGTCCGTTTGGTGATTCTGCAGGGTAGTGGGGTGGGGAGGGGGTCCAGTCGAGAAGGAAACGTCTGGTGGGAGCGCTGACCCTGGAGCCCGGGAAGGCCGCCCCCTCTACGCCTTTACAGCTCCCGCCTTCCCCGGCCCTGGAGCAGCCCGAGAGGCCCCCTCGGCCCCGGGCGCCCAGGCCGCCGCCCCGCCCCCGGCGGCCAGCTGCAGCGCCAGGTCGCCTTCCCACGCGCTCGGCCCTGCCACCCGCCCCCCGCCGCAGAAACTGGTGAAGCTGGCCGGCCCCCGGGGCCGCGAGAGGCGCGTGTGTGAGAGGTCGTTCTGCTCCCGGGTGGCCGGGCGTGGATCCAAGCCTCAGCGAGGTCCTCGGAATCGCTGCAGCCCGTTTTCTCTTTGCTCCCAAATGCCATCCTTGGGGGGCTTATGGGCGCCGTCTGATTGTGCCTGCCGAAAAGGGCAGGGGCAGCTGAGGTAGCACAGCCCCAGGCCTTGGCACGGCCGGTCCGGACGGAGGCGGGCAGCTCCCTCCACCCACTAGGGGCATCGTGGTACTCAAGTATCACTGAGAGGCCCCCACACGGGCCCAGCCGTCTTTCCTCCCAGGCTTGTCCCCACTCCTCCCGGGAAGGGGACGCAGTGGGGCTGGGGAATTGGAGCGGGAACTGTGCGCCTTGCAGACAGCGAATCCTCCCCGGAACTCGTTACGAGCCGCTTGTTAGGATCGGACACACGCGGACTGCGTCCCGCCTCTTGTCCTGGGAACTGAGCCGCTCCTAGTCCGGCCAGAAAAAAACGCGCGAAACCCGAGGACCTTGGGTCCCGCCTTGGCCTGGGGTCCCCAGTGCCCTCGTTTCGGATCCAGCCGTGACCACTAGCAGCTCGACTTAGGCTGCAGCTCAGACGGGGTGGTTAGGGCTCCCCCACCTCCTTCGCCCTGGGAGGCGGCAGATTCCGACCCGCCTCCCCACCCTTGCACCCCTACAGCCGCGGGGTCCCGCCCCCACTCGCAGCCCCGCCTCCCGCTGAGCTCGGATTTCGACCCGGGATTAGGTGAACTGATTGGGGGTTAATGAGAGGCACACAGCGGGCGGCTGGCTCCCGGCTGGGCTCGCGCTCTGGTCGGTTGTCTGGCCGCGCTGGCGCGTCTGTGTAGCCTGATTCCTAGACGGTCGGTGTTCCACGGATCCCAGGCACCTTACCCTTCCTGGTCAACGCGCCCGAATCGGGCTCGACTTCCCCCGGACAAGCTTTGGGGTGAGCAGATTGGAAGCGACTCCTCACCCCTGGGGTGGCTCTCCATGGCCCCTGTATGTACCCAGGCCAGCCTTTCCACGTGTGGGACAAGTGTGAGGGGCGAGCGAGATCATCCCGGGGCTGGGGTTGGTCGTCTGCCACCCCAGGCTCCCCACCTCTGTCCGCCCCCCAACACACACACACACACACACACACACACACACACACACACACACACACTGTTGTCCCGCTTGTCCCCAGTCCTGCTGTTTGTCCCCAACCCGCGCCTCCCCGCCCCTAGTATTCCTCCCGTTTGCCGTGGATTTTTGGGAGGGGCGAGTGTGTTCTGGGGCTTCCATCACTAATGCATCATCAGGCCCTGCGCTCCCTCCCCAGGCCTGAAGCAGAGCCTGGCGGGCCGGGAGAGGTCGAGTCGGGGTAACCAACCGATTTGGTTGGGTGCTTGGGATCTTAGAGAAGAGTGATTGCGGGAATGAGCAGCTTCGCTAGGCAAGGACAGGGTCCTTGGGGCATGGGCAGAGCTGGGCTAAGGGTCTGCGCTAGGGCCCTCGGGAGGCGGGCATTGCCTCTGAGCTGCCGCGGCGGCGGCGGCTTGCGCCACCTGTCCGAGTGCCACCTGGTGAGCGTGGCGCGCCGGGGCCCGGCCCCTCCTTCCACAGACCTCGCTCCTCCCCAGCCCGCGCTCCCCTCTCCGCCTGAGGGCCCAGTCCCAGGCCCCGCAGGCCAGTGATCTGCATTTCCAACCTGGTTCTCCTCGATCCCTCAGTCTCAGATCTCTGCTCGGCCGGGACTGAGGAAGCGCTGGCCGTGACCGTGGGCTGACAGCGGCTCCAGGGACTCTAGGACCGCTGCGGCGGCGAAGAGCGCCGAGCCACAATGCCGCGCTCGTTTCTGGTCAAGAGCAAGAAGGCTCACAGCTACCACCAGCCGCGCTCCCCCGGACCGGACTATTCCCCGCGTTTGGAGAATGCACCTGCGCCGGGCCGAGCAGGTGCGAGGCGCGCGCGGGCCGCCTGGGGCTGCTGTGGGGTGGGGGAGGGATGTCCTTTATCACTCTCCCTGCGACCGAGAGAAGCAACCCCTACGTCCAAAGTGCTGCGGGGTTTTTGTTTTTGGTTTTGCCTTGCTCCCTCGCACCTGTCCCCTGATCATCCTGGTTCCTCCGGGAGCTTTTGTGTCTTCGACAACACGGACTGCACCGGCTCGCCCTTGGATCCCGGAGGGTTTTGGTGCGGGTCTGGGAGGGGAAGGAGGAGGCTCGGGTGCTGCGGTCCGGCCGCACTTCATCCCAACCGGGCCAGCCTAAGCCCCTGTCCCACCTCCCTCTCCGCAGACAGCACTTCCAGTGCAGGCGGAACGAAGACGGAGCCCGGGGACCGTTTGTCCCCCGAGTCACAGAGGACCGAGGCCCCTGACAGAACCTCTACGTCTCCGGACAGCTGTGAAGGCAGCGTCTGCGACCGGAGCTCTGAGTTTGAGGATTTGTGGAGGCCTCCGTCGCCTTCCGTGTCTCCAGGTAGGGATTGTGGGGAGCACTCGGGGCTTGCGGGGACCCGGCGGTGCTGAGGGAATACGCGCGACCTTGACTGCAGAAACGCCGAGTGGGTGGCGGGCGGAGAGGCTTTCCTGGAGGTGACAGTGCGGGGTGGGAGACCCGGCGGGCTGGCATCTGGTCTGCCAATGCCGCTCCCGCACGCCGGGCGGCGGGATCAGGTCTGCTGGTCCCCGGCACTGGTGTAGGCTCAGTCCACGGGGATTACGCGCAGCAAGGTCCACCTTTCGTTTTCTGACCCGCGTTGGATAAAAAGTGCTAGGATTCCAGAATCTAGATCCCTGAGCCCCCCAAACAAACTGAGGACTGGGCAGTGCAGAGGGAGTCCAGAGAGGGAGGGGTCTGGGCCGAAAATCTCGGCGGGCGGCTCCGTCTTGGAGCAGGAACAGGCTAGGGAGCCTGTTTCGTTTTTCGTTTGGCCAGGTCGGCCCAGCCTCGAGACCAGCCTGCTGGGGTTTCATTTCCAGCGAGCAGTCGCGTTTCCTGCTAACCGAGTGGCTGCACGTTTAGTGGGGGAGAAGCTCCGTTCGGCTGGGGGAGGAAGGAGCAGGCAGCGGCGTTGCTGCCGCTGGAGATTTGAATGGTGTGGCAAAGGACGCCACCACTCACTATCCATCCTTAACGCAGCCAGCGAACTTGGCTAGAGCCGCGGCTCGGAGGAGTGCGTGTGTGGGGCGGTGGGGGGAGGCGTGACGGGGAGGGTCCTTCCTGGTGTGTGCCACGCGGCCGCCCCGGACCCGGCACCTCCGGAACCCCCGGGACGGAAGCTCCGGGTGTAGCCTCCCACTGAAGCGGCCAGTCTGGACGGGAGTCTGCAGGGTGTGTGTGTGTGTGTGTGTGTGTGTGTGTGTGTGTGTGTGTGTGTGTGTGTGTGTGTGTGTGTGTGTGTGTGTGTGTGTGTGTGTGTGTGTGTGTGTGTGTGTGTGTGTGTGTGTGTGTGTGTGTGTGTGTGTGTGTGTGTGTGTGTGTATTCGAAAGTGCGCTTGCACTAGGATATCTTGGGTCGCTAATTTTAACAGAATGCTCTGTAAGAGGCAAGATTCAGGAGCTCTTCTCCTGGCAGGCGGCTGATCAAACGTTACTGCTTGTAAAAATTATTCTCCGAAAAGTTCGGGTTTCCCCATCGTACTAAGCAACAGGAATGGAAACGGGGAGGGTTTGGAAAGCAGTCCAAGCTCGCAGCTCTTTTGCCACGTGCCCTTTTTGCTACCTGCACCGAGTTCTGAGGATTCTTAACACCTGTTGGTTTCAGCTCAGCTAGGCATCTCAGGTAGTCCGGGGCCACGTTTTATTGCTCCTCGGCTTCCTCAGGGATCCCGGAGCGGGGAGAGAATTGAACGGGGAAACCTATAGGATTTGAGAGAGGGCCAGCGCTAGACCACGGGCCCGAGTGCAGACCAAGGCAGAACCGCAGCTGCCTTCGCTCGGTGCACAGCTCAACTCACGGCTCCTGAATGCGCCCTTCGCTAGTCTACCGCCTTCTGGAGCGCGGGTCCTTCCAGAATTGACTGTGGAAATAAAGAGTGCTGGCGCAGCCCTCTCACAGTTTCCCTAAGTTCTCTCCCGGCTAGGTCTCTGGAGCGCTTTTTCCTGGAGGATGGGGAGGAGGGGTGTCCCTGGCACTTGCTGCGAGGGGAGTTCGGACGAGCTGGGGGAGGGAGAGGTCCAGGCAGTCCGTACACGCTGACCCAACAGGTGCCACCTTCCATTCGTCTGTTGCCTGACCCGACACCCTCTCAATGCCTCCACAGCCTCGGAGAAGTCCTTATGCCCGTCGCTGGACGAAGCCCAGCCCTTCACCCTGCCTTTCAAGCCTTACTCGTGGAGCAGCCTGGCGGGTTCTGACCTGCGACACCTGGTTCAAAGCTACCGGCCGTGCGCGGCCCTGGAGCGTGGCGCCGAACTTGGCCTCTTCTGCGAGCGCGCTCCGGAGCCAGGCCACCCGGCAGCGCTGTTTGGGCCGGAGCGGGCTGCTGGCGGCGCGGGGACCGGGACACCAGGGGGCTGCGGCGCGACCAGTGGCGCCGCGGGTGGCGCGGGCCTGAGGCTCTACGGCGACTTCGGGCCCACGGCGGCAGGACTGTACGAGCGACCCCATGCAGCGGCCGCCGGGCTGTACCCGGAGCGCGGCCACGAGCTGCGCGCAGACAAGGGCACTGGCGTCAAGGTGGAGTCCGAGTTGCTGTGCACCCGCCTGCTGCTGGGCGGCGGCTCCTACAAGTGCATCAAGTGCAGTAAGGTGAGGCTCCCGCGCGCCCGGCCGCACTAGCCCCGCGCCCGCGCGCTTGACCCCGCAGCCCGCCACATCGCCTGCTCCCCGCGGCCCCTCTCAGCGGCCTTTTCCCCCCCGGCCCCACCCGTCTCAGGTGTTCTCCACGCCGCACGGGCTCGAAGTGCACGTGCGCAGGTCCCACAGCGGCACGAGACCCTTTGCCTGCGAGATGTGCGGCAAGACCTTCGGGCACGCGGTGAGCCTGGAGCAGCACAAAGCCGTGCACTCGCAGGTAAGCGCGGGGCGCCAGGCCGCGCACCGGCCCGGCTCAGGCTTTCGCGCTCCGGATCTTGTGCTTCTCCTTCAGGGCAGCATCTGCCCCGCCTTTGCCTGGCACACTTCTCCCGACTGGCCCCAGTCTCCTCTGCCAGACCTTCTTGCCTTGCGCCCTCGTCCTGGTGTAGGCGCACAGAGCGAGAAAGGTGGGCAGCGGCTGGCTGGCTCGGGGCTTGAGGCAGCCTTTGAGTGTAGTGTCATATCATTGTGATAGGCATCATTCATGCGGGTTTCGGAAGGTTTTGTGTGCACGACTCTTGCTGCTGATACAACAGATTTATTAGCTGATTCTTCGCTTCTGTTCTCTGCTCCAAATGGTAGTCGTTTAATCTGGGGTGACTCCTCCAGACTGAAAGTGCAGGACCTCGGTTAGTGGAGAGCACCCAGGAACACCTTTGCCTTGCTGTGTTTTCCTTCATTCTCCCTGTAAGTGTCCCTTGCCCAGCCTGCAGGTGCTAAGCACTGAGGAATCTCACAGTACACCAGACAGGAAGCTGGCAAAGAGACTGCAGTTTAGCTGAGCACCCAAACAACCATAACCAGGAGAGTGCTCATTTAGGAAGGTTGACTAACTGCTTAATCTTCCCCCAACCCCAAGACTAACTGCAGGCGGAAGGGATCTTCTCAAGTGACTGAGGTTTATGCTGCAGGGGTGGAGAAGGGTGTTAAAAATACAGGGTGGGGACACACTGTTGCTGGGGGGGTGAGAAGTTGTTAAGGGGGGAGGTGTGAAAGGAGGAGGATGGAGAATGTGGAGCAGAAGCATCGAGGGACCGGGAAGGAAGGTGGGACAGTGGAGCAGAGTGGACCCCGGGTGGCTGCTGTAGCAAGTGGCACGTCTTTCTCTTTCTGCAGGAGCGGAGCTTTGACTGCAAGATCTGCGGCAAGAGCTTTAAGAGGTCATCCACGCTGTCCACGCACCTGCTCATCCACTCAGATACCCGGCCCTACCCCTGTCAGTACTGTGGCAAGCGGTTCCACCAGAAGTCAGACATGAAGAAGCACACCTTCATCCACACTGGTGAGCCGGAGGCCAGACACTCCCCTGCTGGGTGGGGGAATGGAGGCAGTCGAGGCTGTGAGAAGGAAATTCAATGGCTCAGTCATAGCCCAGAGGTCTGCAGGTAGGACCACTCGGCAGGTAGCCCATCCTTGGGAAGTCAACCTTCCTCCAGGCTAGCAGCTGTTCCACTTGCTGCCGAGGTGGGGCCAGGTGAAAAATGTAGCCCCAGGCTGCTCTCCTACACATTGAAGACTTTCTTTTAGGATTCCCACCCAGCCTTTTGGCGGAGATTCCAGTGTGGCCCGACGTGGCCCTGCTGATTGCATTGTTAGGAGTCTGAAAGCTCTGATTGAGGAGGAAAAAGGGCAAATATTGCTGAACTGTCTGCTAAGCAGTTTCAATACTCAGTTGATGCATGTCACAAGCCCTGAGAGTTACAGATGGTCCCTGGCCTCATCTTGGAGGGGAGAACAGTAGTGAGGCCACAGGAAGGTTAAATGACCTGCTAGCCAGCGGCAGGGCCAGGGCTCAAGTTCGGTCTGTCTGACTTCTCCAGTGTCTATGATCTTGACCCCTATTTACCCTATCCCATTCTCAGTCATGGAAATCAGTAGATTCAGAAAACTGCCATTCGCCCACGGTCCTTTTCAAAAGATCCACAAGGTCATGTGACAGTTCCTTACCTGCTTTAGTGCAGAATGGAACGTTTGCAGAATGCTTTTAAATCTCATTTTGCTGGATCCTTGTTGCTGCTTCACATTGTAGAAGGAGCTTCTCTACCATGCTGTACCTCAGGGGCTGGCAAAATTTACCAGAAATCAGACTGAGTGACTCGGGCAGCCATGGAATGCTCTGGCTTCTAGTCCTGTGCCCTTCCCCCAGCACATCATGGCAGATGGTGCTTTAAAGCTAGGCACTCTCCTTCACTAGAATGTACCAGAGACACTTTTATTGCACAGTGTGAATACTGACACAAAACAAATTGCAGTTTGTTCCAAATACCCACTATTGCCTATTAATCCAGCTCTTCTGTAGTGTGGATAGTCTCGCCAGAAAACCTGAGAACTATCTTACTTTAATCCTTTCGCCCTTGCCTAGAGTTTCCGTATAATTCACTGCTTATAAGTGAAGGGGTTGAAAACACTTAGCAAAAGTCAAGTAGTGTCTTGACTCAAGGAAACATTAAGCTCTTAGCAAACATTCATTTTAGCTAGAATTCATTTTGCAAATTTGGTTGACTCTAAAGGGGTGAGCTCAGTTTTGATGAATGGCTCCTGATTAGGGAATTTGAAGCAGGAGGACAGAAGGGGAGTGACAGGAGGGACAGAAGAACTTCATTTTGCAATTCCCACTCCCGCCAAGGCTGAGCCCTGGCTGTAATGCCAAGCTGGGGGCTCTTGGAAAATGCATGCCATTTACCTGGATGTTGCACAGCACATGATGCAGAGGAAAGAATCCTTTCTGAGTTCATTAATCTGAAGAGAGTAGTTTGTGTCTAAAGATGCTTGGGATTAATGTCATAAAAAAGAAAGTAAAAGTCCACACAAAAGGGGTGGCCCCTTTAAGAAGCACCCTGTAGCTCCCCAAATGTGGGTTCTCAAGTCAGAACTGTCCGGGTCCACACCGTCCTTTAAAGGCGAGAAGGAAGACAGGCTCTCTGGCACATGCAAACCAACGCCCACTTGGAAACTCAGATTTGAAAACTTCCTCTGCATGAGAACAGTCACACGGTTTGTAGGGCAGCTCCCCGCCCCCTCCGGGACCTGCTGAACATCTGCTGTGGGTGATGGCGGCGGCTCAAGTCCGGGGAGTCCTCCCTTGGCTGAGTTGAGCTGGGGAGGAGGGCACGTGGCCTTTGCTTGGTTTTCACTAAGCCTGAGACAGTTTGAGGCAGGGGGCTGGGAACCCCAACTTAGAAAGTCTCCCTTTCAACCTGGTGCACCCCTTGGCTTCCTGAGCCCTGCTGGGAGTCAGTCAAGATCTTACCCTCCTAGTTGCTGGAAGGAAGCAGGTGCACAGGGGCCCATCAGTGGGGTGGCCGCCAGCTTCATCACACGCTCATCCTGCCTCTCCCCCCCCCCCCCCCCCCGCTGCGCCTGCAGGTGAGAAGCCCCACAAGTGCCAGGTGTGTGGCAAAGCCTTCAGCCAGAGCTCCAACCTCATCACCCACAGCCGCAAGCACACAGGCTTCAAGCCCTTCGGCTGCGACCTGTGTGGGAAGGGCTTCCAGAGGAAGGTGGACCTGCGGCGGCACCGGGAGACGCAGCACGGGCTCAAGTGAACAGAGCCGGTCCGTGCAGACTGCACGCAACTGCTTACATGACACTACCACCCCACTCTCACCCCACCCTGACTTCTCAGGCCTCCCCTCCCCCCAGCTCAGTCTGCAGGTCCCCCAAGGATGCTTTCTGGAGCTGCCTGGGTTGGGCTGGGGAGGAATGAGGGTTGGGTGGTGACCTTTATTCCTGCTGGTCAGGCAGAGTGGGAAGTGAGGGGCTTGTCAGGCTGTGAGCGAGGGTCCTCTCTTCTATGCCAGAGGATGCAGAATCATGTGGGAACCACGTAACCCTTGGACCCCACCGTTACCAACCCTACTCCACAGACAGCAATGTCTTTCTGGGTATTTCCTTCCTCCTCCTCCTCTTGCCTTAGCCCTATGTGGGAGAGGAGGTGGCACCAACGCTCACATGTTTGTCTAGGAACATGAAGGAGTATTACTTTTTGTTGTCGTTGTTCTGGGGGGACGGTCTATTGACCTCTCTCTGTTGGGTGCTTGACTGTATGTCTTGAAGGAATCCTTCTAAAAACTGGTTAGGGAACTGCTTTGGGGAAGGAATTTAGTGCTTTGGAAATCCATGACCTACACTGCAGAGCCACCACGGGGAGGAGCAGAAGTGGACTTGGTGATGAGAGGAGCCTGGAGGGCCCTCCTTCAGGAGGCATACGTGCCTGTGTACAGGGTGCCAGCTCACATGGCACCAAGCACCGTGCTAGGCCCTGGAGAGCCAGGGCAGGCAGAGCCCTGTTCCTGCCCCCTAGAAGCCAACAGCTGCCCCTCTAAGTGACAGTTTTCTCTTTCCCTCGGAGGGACTTCTGAGATGGTAACCCAGCATCTTGAACCTTCCCTTGGACCCTGTTGGGTTTCACCAAGTGTAAACCAAAAGTGGCTGAAGGGAGAGTCATCTCGAAGACTTGTGGACATCTTTGAAGACTTCAGCTTTTTTTCTGGCGAAGCTGATACATTTCAGGTTTCTCAGCTGGCAGTCATGCAAGCAACTTATTTTCAACTTTTGGACCCTCTGTGGGGTAAAGGAGAAGGTGGTATTTTTACTTTGGCAGCATTTGTAAAGGTTTTTGGATCTTCTGGAGTGCATTATGATTGTTGAATACATATTTATTAGAGTGGCATTTTAAGTTAATAAAGTATTAAAACTGAAAACTGGTTGCCTTTCCTTTAGGCAGGAAGTCTAGGGAAGGCCTCCATGTTAATCTCTGGGAAATGCTGACACTGAAGGGAATTGGAGTGGAGGGTCTTAGTGGAGCGAGTAAGCCCACATCCAGAGAAAAGGCAAAAGCCAGTTGCTGGGATTTTGGAAGACCTCTCCTTCTTTCTTTTCTGCTCCATGACAATTCTTTCTGAACAGAAAAGCTAGGAAGGGTATAAAGCAAAGCTCCCATCTTGCAGAGTCCTCCATATTCCCACAGGCACTTGAGCTCCATCCTCTGAGCATTTCAGAGACTTCCAGGCCCCAAAAGCTCTCAGAAAAATACAGAAATCAAATTTTTGGTCTTAGCAAATCCTTTGATTTTTCCCAATACCAGTTTCCTAGACCATTAAATTTAGACCTGATTGTGTCTCCCCATCCACCACTGATGGGATCAGTGGTTAGCCATCTTGCCCAATGCAACAAACCAAATCCCAAGTCACGTATAAAGCGATAAAACTGGAGTCTGGAGGCATTTCATAAATTCAAGAAAATGAAACCAGAATAATGTCCTGGCCTGAATCCCTATGACCATGCTCTGCTACCTGCTGGCTGGGCGATGCATGGCCTGTGGTGACTCCTGGTAGATTTCTCATTTTCATTGAGGTAAAATTCACGCACATTGCATGTGTACATAGCATGTGTCTGGCACTGTCTTGTATGGTAAAGCTATAGCAGTGAGGACAATGTCCTGTGAAACTTTGTTTGGTTCTTGATGAATCTTTAGCTCCCAGAGCAGTGCCTGGCCCACGTTAGAAGATCTATCAATATTTGCTGAGATGGTAAGAGAATAAACAGAGAAAACTGTCCCCTGCTTTATCTTAGGGGCTGGCTCAGCTCTACAGCCCAATGCCTGGACAAATAGAGCACATATGCCCTTCTTTCTGAATTGTTGTTTCTGGTGATGGTGGTGGTGGTGGTGGTGGGGCTTGGATGCTGCTTTCCTCTACTCTCTCCAAATCTCAGAACTGCGGTGTCTTCCCTTTAGCTTCCCACACCATGTCTTTCTATGGCAGTTTCTGCTCAGTCACAAGTTGTCAGGTGGATTTTCAGAATTGATGGGCATGAACAGCAGGAACCATCTCCTTAGGGTCCCAGGAGGCAGAGCTCCCAGTGAATAGAGGTGACAAGATGGCCTTCCCGTAGAAGTTGCTGCACATACTGCTTTGTTACTTCCAACCTGATTTGAAAAGTAAAGACGTAGCACCAAGGGTTAGTTGGAACTGATTGAAATCTAAGTGTCTGTCCCATCCCACTCTTCTCCTTGATGTCCTGTAGATCACATGGTTCATTTCATGACCCACCCTGCTTATGTTTATAAAAGAGGAATTGCAATTTTTGATCTGAACCGAGTACCTGTTTTTGGAAAGAAATTTATCTGGAGATTCCCGTGCGGAATCAAAACATGTTACTTTGCCTGTGACCGTGTGAAATTTGAAGATTGCAAATATCTCTCTTAATGTTATTACTTGACTCCATTAAAAATAGATGGTGAATATTCCATGTCACATTATTCATGAGGCAGGTTCTATGCCTTTTGTCTGCCGAAGTAACAGGAGAAAGGTAAGGAGAGACTGCAGAGCACACCTTTGTTTCTCTCACTGAATTTTTAATAACCCCTCCAGCCAGCCAGTTGGTGAAGCTCAGCTCTTGCATAAAAGCGGAAAAGCACAGCCATCTCTGAGAAGACCGACTCTTTCAAGAGCTAATTTGAGTTTGTGTTGGGCTACACCAGACAGGATTGAGTTACCTATCGAGTGTGCCGAGCTATCAGGATTCAGGCCACGTAAAAGGTGAATTTCATCTGATTGATTTGAGACACGAATGGAACAATTGAGTTTTAAAAGCCCCGCCTTAATTAAAGGGAGAGCAAAGTCACACTCCCTGGCGACTTGGTGACTGCCATTGCCCTCGAAAACTGGGTGGCAAAAGTGATTTGCCTCTGGTCACTGTGTTGTGTGCCTATTTGCTCAACCTATACTTTAATTGAAAGGGGTGAACTTAGAGAAAGCTCTGAAAGGTCTTCACCCATTTTTTAGCTTTGCATTTCTAGAGCACTTTTGTTTAATCTCTGCTTGGAGAATTTGTGCAGTGGAAACTTTTCAGGCAGTGTATATTCACTTCAGCAATGTGCTTTCATTCTTTAAGTTGGATGAAAAGTTTAACAAAATTTCACCCCAAATCTCTTGCTTGAACGTTTGTGTTAGTATTTTGGTGTCTTCTTCCTAATCTTTTATCTACATATGTGCAAAGTTGTATTTTTGTTTACTCTGTGATTGGGTATTTATCATTAATGTCAAGGTGGTTCTTTTATTTATGTATTCTTATACAACATGGACACATACTTAAAAGTGAAATACATTTCACAGTAAAAATTTGGACATTTGGTTAAATTTTGTAAAATTTTGTGTGCTTAGGAATTTTATGAAGTATTAAGAAAATCTTGCTGAAGTGCAACATTACTCTGTGAATAAAATATCTTAAGTCTGCAGGAATTAGAGGTTAACACGACAAGTGAGAGCATAACCCGTGCCTTACTGTACTTACTTTGGATTTTGTTGTTGAAATAAAACATTACAAACATGAAAGATGCAGTTTACTCCAGCTGCTTCCTATAAATTGCAGTTTATTTATTCCCACATTGGAAATTGGTCATTTCCAATTTTGCCTATTACAAAAGATTCTGAGGCAAGTAACTTCTTATGTCTCTGTATGATTGAGATTTTTAGGGTATTTCCTGGGAATGGAAATGCTGTGTACTTTCAAACTGCTGGCCAAACTCTTTTACTTTTATATGTCTCACCAATAGCAAAGGAGAATTCCTGTTGTTCCATAGTATCTTATCAACACTTGGTATTGTCAAATTTTAAAAATATTTGCCAATCAGAAAGACATAAAATGTCATTATAATCTCTTTTTTTTTTTTGGCCTCTTCATGTACTTTGTCCATTTTTGGGGGGTGGTGGCTAGGTTGCTTACTATTTTATCAATTTGTTCCTAACATATATTCTGAATACTCACTGTCAATACATATTTAACAAAGCATTTGTTAGCTAAATGTGTAACTTTTTCACTTGGAAGAGATTTGTTTGTTTTGGTGCTAAGGTGGTCAGATGCAGAGCATCTTTTCCTTTATTGTTTTTGCTTTTCATGTTGTGATTAAGACTTTTTTGTTCATAATTGATGGTAATAAAATCATACTCCATATTTTTTATAAAATATTTAAATTTTTGTCTGTGACATGAGATTTTTAATCTGGTTGCATGCAGACCATGTGAAACAGGAGCTAATGATTTTTTTTCCAATTACGCTAACATGATTTGTTGCACATTCTACCTTTCCCCTCTGTAATGCTGCCTCCGTCATACACCAAGTTTCGGTTTCTGTATGGTTCTCTTTCTGGGCTTGCAGATCTGTTCTGCTGTTCACTTTGTCTATCTGTGCTAAAGTCATCATGTTTTTCTGAATTTACTTCCTCTGTGCTGTTTTATCTGCTTCAAGAATAGCTCAGCTGCCTTTGGCCCTTCGTTCTTGTTTGTGAAAAACTCTGTTGAAATTCAAGTTTGTATACATCTATTATTTAATTTGGGGAAGATTAAAATCACTTTCCTGTTGATCTTGCCATCCACAAATATCCTGTATCAGTATTCTACTTAGGTATTTGTTATATCTTTCAATAATGTTTGACACATTTCTCCATGATTTTATTTAATGGTTCTCATAGTTTTAAACATTTTTATTTGTTTATTTTAACAAACTGCAAAGCTATTCTGAGAGGTAGAGAGAGAACGCCTGTCTCCTGTTTCACTCCCCAAATACTCACCACTACAGACAGGGATGGGCTGAGGTCAAAGTGGAAAGCGAGGAGCTCAGTTCTGGTCTCCCACGGGGGCGGTAGAAAGCCAGATGCTTGAGCTGCCGCTTGCTGCCTCTGGAGTCTGCAGAGTCTGCCATAGCAGGGACCTGGAGTCAGGAGCTGACGCTGGGTGTTAAACAGCGGCACTCACTTGACTACAGTGCCAACTGCCAGGCTAAATGCCCTCCTCTATAGTTCTTCTGAAAAGTTACATTTTCTAACCATCTGTTGCTGACATATGGTTGCATTAATATATTTTTAAAGATTTCTTCATTTAGTTATTTTTTTTTTTATCAGAAAGGCAGAGGTTCAGAGATAGAAGGAGGAACAAAGGGATCTTCTATCTGCAGTTTTAATCCCCAAATGATCTGAATGGCTAGAGTACTGTCGGAAACCAGGAGCCAGGAGCTTCTGCCAGGTCTCCCACATGGGTGCAGGGGCCTAAGGACTTGAGCCATCCTCCATTGCTTTCCCAGGGCGTAAGCAGGGAGCTAGACTGGAAGTGGAAAAGCTGGGACTTGAATTGACATCCATATGAGATGCCAGCACCACAGGTTCAGGCTTAGCTTTATGCACTTCCAAGCTGGCCTCTGGAAGCATTCATATTTTTTATGTTGATCTTAGATAGTGTAACTTTGCTGAACATTCTTTGTAGCTTGCTGTAGATCACTTCCAATCCTCTGTGTAATATATTATAAAATAGGTGATTAAAGTTTGACTTTGTTCTTTCCAGCATGTTCTTGTCCTACTGTATTCATGAGTGCTTAATTGAATAGGGATTGAATGCTAAGTTTCCTTCTCTGTAACATTTAGGGAAATGTTCCTCATTTTTTACAATTTAATGTAATGGTTGACTAGTTTTTTGTTAGTGAGCTTAAAAATTCAATATAAAAATTTTTTCTGGGCCTGCCTTACATGTTCCAGAATTCTGTATGGGCACCAGTTTGTGTCCTGGTGGCTCCATTTTCTATCCAGCTTCCTGCTAGTGGCCTGGGAAAGCAGTCGAGGATGGCCCATAGCCTTGGGACCCTGCACCTGCATGGGAGACCCAGAGGATGCTCCTGGCTCCTGGCTTTGGATCAGCTCAGCTCCAGCCATTGCAGTGACTTGGGGTGAACCAGTGGATGGAAGATCTTTCTCTGTCTCTCCTTTTTTCTGTAAATTTGGCCTTTCTAATTAAAAATATTTTTAAAAACATTTCTGTTTGTACAGTGGGCATTTGGAATAGCTTTTGAGACACTGCTTGAGATGCCAGCATCCCATGTTGAAGGACTTTGGTTCAAGTCCCAGCTCCTGCTCTCCATTGCAGCATCCTAGGAGATAGCAGGTGATGACCCAAGGACTTGGATACTTGTCGTTCACGTGTGTGACCTGGGCTGAGTTCCCAGCTCTCAACACCGACTTTGTGCAGCTTTGGCTGTCACGAGCATTTGTAGCATGAACCAGTGGATTCATGCTCTCTCTCTCTTTCACTAAGTAAAGTTTTAAATATTTTTTTTAAAGATTTATTTTTATTATTTTTTTTATTGGAAAGGCAGATATACAGAGAGGAGAGACAGAGAGGAAGATCTTCCGTCCGATGATTCACTCCCCAAGTGAGCGCAACGGGCCGATACTATGCCGGTCCGAAGCCAGGAGCCTCTTCCGGGTCTCCCACGTGGGTGCAGGTTCCCAAAGCTTTGGGCCGTCCTCGACTGCTTTCCCAGGCCACAGGCAGGGAGCTGGAAGGGAAGCGGGGCTGCCGGGATTAGAACCGGTGCCCATATGGGATCCCGGGCGTGCAAGGCGAGGACCTTTAACCACTTGCGCCACCGCGCCGGGCCCAAGCTTTAAATATTTTTTAAAAAATATTATTTTTTGGTAAAGATTCCCAATAGTACATGTATGTTTTTATTCATTAATTTTTTTTTAAAAAAAGATTTATTTTATTAATTTGAAAGGTAGAGTTACAGAGAAAGAGAGATCTTCCATCTGCTGGTTCATACCCAAAGGGCCACAACGGCCAGGGCTAAACAGGTGAAAACCAGGAGGCTGGAACTCCACGTATGCTTCCCCATTGGGTGGCAGTGGCCTGAGCATCCGGACCATCTGGCCCCTGCTTTCTCAGATGGATAAACAGAGAGCGAGGGATTGGAAGCAGAGCAGCTAAGACTAAAGTCAGCATCACAGGTAGCCACTTAACTTGCTACCTGGGTATTTGTTTTTTATTATATGGTTTTTCTCTGTTGAGACTCTTGTGGCTTTTTTTTTTCCTTTTTTTTTTTAAAGATGTTTATTTTATTAGAAAGGTATATTTATGGAAAGAAGGAGAAACAGAAAGATCTTCCATCTGCTGGTTCGCTCTCCAAGTGGCCACAACGGCTGGAACTGAGCCAATTCAAAGCCAGGAGTCAAGAGCTTCTTCCAGGTCTCCCACGTGGGTAAAGGATCCCAAAGCTTTGGGCCGTCCTCAACTGCTTTCCCAGGCCACAGGCAGGGAGCTGGATGGGAAGCAGAGCAGCTGGGGTACAAACTGGTGCCCACATGGGATCCTGGGCAGTGCGTGTAAGGCAAGGATTTAGCCACCAGGCCATTTTGCTTGGCCCTCTTGTGGCTTTTTAATCTTTTGATTTGTTAATATGGACATGGCATTTGTAGGTTTTCTGATGTGAATTGATCTTGCATTGTTAGCAGGATGAGAGGTTAAGATGAGCCACAAATTAGTCACGAATAAAAAAACCAACATTGCTGATTTGTTTTGTTGATCTTCACTTAGGATATTTGAAATCATGCTTATTAGAAAAAATGGCTTACAATCTTTCTTATTCTGTCCACGGTTTGCCTTGTTTTAAATTGTTAGAGGTTATTGTTTCTTTTTTTCCTGTTTTCTCTAATAATTTGTGAAAGAGAAGGATGATGTTCTTGGAATGTTTGATAGAACTAGGACTGTTTCGGATGACAGAAGTAGGATATGTTTAAGCTTTAGTGACTCTAGGTCTATTAAAGTTATGAACTTTTTTTCCTAAATAGATTTATAGTTCAGAAAATTGATTGTTTTTTCTAGGTTTTCAGATTAGTTAACACAAACACTCATAGCATTGTCTGATTAAAAAAAAAAAACCTAAACCTATTTTTATGTTCAGTGTTTCATGCTAATACTGTTTGTGAATGCCTTTATCTCTTTTCTTGATCAGTCTTGACAATGATCTCTCTTACCTTTGCTAGATACTTCCATTATCATGTATTTTTACATCTTTTTAAAAAAGAATTATTTGGGTCCTGGCGCGGTAGCCTATTGGCTAAAGTCTTCACCTTGAACATGCCAGGATCCCATATGGGTGCCGGTTCTAATCCCGGCAGCCCCACTTCCCATCCAGCTCCCTGCTTGTGGCCTGGGAAAGCAGTGGAAGATGGCACAAAGCCTTGGCACCCTGCACCCATGTGGGAGACCTGGAAGAGGCTCCTGGTTTCAGACTGGTGCAGCTTTGACCGTTGCAGTCACTTGGGGAGTGAATCAATGAACAGAAGGTCTTCTCTTTCTCTCCTCTTCTCTGTATATCTGACTTGGCAATAAAAATAACTAAATCTTTTTTAAAAAAAGATTTATTTATTTATTTTAATAAATCTTTTAAAAATATTTGCTTATTTTTATTGCAAAGACAAATCGAACAGGAGTGACAGAAAGATCTTCTATCAGCTGGTTAATTCCTCAAGTGACCACAATGATCAGAGCTGAGCCAATCCAAAGATATGAGGCAGGAGCCTCATCCAGGTCTCCCACATGGGTGTAGGTTCCCAAAGCTTTGGGCTGCCCTCCACTACTTTTCCAGGCCACGGACGGGGAACTGGATGGGAAGTGGAGCAGCTGACTCTGCTGGTGCCTACATGGGATCCCAGCATTTGAAGGTTGAGGATTAGTTGAGACATCACACTGGCCCTTCTTCTTTTTCTTGTCCTTCTCCTCCTCCTCACCCTGGCACTACATCTTCCCCTTCTTCTGCTAGATTTATTCATTTTTATTGGAAAGGCAGATTTACAGAAAGAAGGAGAGACGGAGAGAAAAATCTTCTCTTTGCTGGTTTGCTCCTGAAATGGCTGCAATGGCCAGAGCTGAGCTGATCCAAAGGCAGGACCCTGGAGCATCCTCCGGGTCTCCCACATGGCTGCAAGGTCCCAAGGCTTTGGGCCAACATCTACTGCTTTCCTAGTCCAGAAACAGGGAGCTGGTGGAAGTGGAGCAACTGAGACAGGAACCAGTGCCCACATGGGATCCCA